TAAAAGTCCTCTGAGAAACTAAGGCACAACAAAGAAGAGCAAAGTTATGCGGATTGTGACTACTAGGAAGCTATGCAAGGTTTGGTAGTTTATGGGACTGTTTGAATTCTAAACCTATAAGAGTATCTATAATGATGGTGTGTAAAGCTACTTTTACATTCACTTTACACTTCTAGAAGATGTAAATGTAAAGTGAATGTAAATGTGATTTTTGCTCCAATAAAAGCATCTCCATTGCAAGATGTGTAAATTGGAGGTGTAAAGCCCCATTTACATCTCTATTTCACCTCCGGAAGATTTAAATGTTGTTTTTCCTCTAATAGAATAGATGTAAATTAGAGATGTAAAAAGGAAATGAAATGAAATGAAAGGAAGTGATTTTATATCAAGTTGAAACAAAATGATATTTCTGGTATTTTGGTAGCGATTTCACCTTTTATATGCTTGGAGCCCACCACTTTTGCATTATTTCTCCTTCTTTTCAACATGTGGGGCCCATCAAATGAGAATGTAAAATCATATGTAAGAGCATCACCAATGGTCACATGTAAATCCAAATGTATGCTAAATATACACCTTTCTTGCCTGGAAACTCCTATAGTGAGAGTATGTAAAAGGTTGTAAAATTGCATTTGATGTCGGAGATGCAAAAAAAGTTCTATGTTTACATCTGTTTTTACACCTTTGGAACGAGCCTCACCACTTAGAAAGGAGGAGAGAGGATAGAGGATTAAAGCTGAATCACACTTCTAACTCGCCCAGCACGCGCAATTACAAAATACTCGTCATACAAAGTCTTGTGGTGGGCCCATAGTTGATTCAATTTGGAAACAAATTCCAACACCTACAAAATCTAGTGGCTGTGATTTCTTCTTTCAAAGTGGACGACCAGGATTCATTCTATACAAACCCAACCAATAGCTTGATTCTCAAAATGCGTCTTTGGATTTACATCTTCTCTATTGGAGTAAAAATTTACAGCTTCCTTATTGGAGTAAAAAATACATACACTCCCCAAAGGTGTTAAGGGGATGTAAAAGTGTATTTACACCCCCGAAAATACACACTCCCCTCCTCCTTTTCTCCTATTGGTGATGCTCTAAATGTCCTTTTTTTTAATTTAAAAAAAAACTCATTTTTGGGCCAAATGCTATATTTGCATTCATCTACACCCCACCATTGGAGCAACTTCCGACAACTCTGGGTGTAAATGTCTTTTACATCTCCCTTTACACCCTTACAATGGAGATGCTCTGAGGAATATGTAAGTCCAAAGATGTATATTCGCAACATGGGTGTAAAAACTGATGTAAATTAGTATCTTTTTATGCATCTCCGGTGGCTAGTGTAAATATACAGGACTTTACATTCTCCCACTGCAGCAAATTTCGGTGGCATAGGTGTAAATTTAGCATACATCCACCTTTACACACTACCATTGTGATGCCCTAAGCCCATTTGGTTCAAGGTTTAAGAGCTTGGGAATGAGTTTCAAACTGAATGCCCATATTTAGTAAACGCACTCGTGGGAATGCAATTATGGACTCATGGGTATGGACTTCCCATGTATGAGGGAATTTCATATCCTTGGTTCACCTCGAGAAACTTTTTTTTTCCCTCATCACTTGGAAAACATTTAATGCAGTTTTTTGGGACTAACTTAACCATGATATTATTTTCAAATACCACTTTTGACCTTTCAAAAACTCTTCATATTAATAACTTTAATAATAAACAACTTTTCATCAATCCTAATATTGCACTAACCAAACAAGGTAATGAGAGAAAATGACATTTCCTAGTCCTTATTTCCCAACATTCTCAAACATGGAAATGAACATCCTCAATTCCTCTCTCATGGAATTAGACATGAGAATTTTATTCTCACGAAGTACAATTTGAGAACCAAACGAGCCCAAGTATCTAGTACTCAAATTCTTTGTTGGTTGATAAATATTTAAATTTTAAATTAATTCCTCACAATTTAAGGATACATCCGAAACGGCATTTAGTGTTCCATAAATTAGCATCCAAAACAGAGATAGTGTCAACTCATACAGCAGAATATAGTGTGAAATAATGAATTGCAGCTAACCCAATGTATTATGTATGCAATTGTGCCTAGCTACATTACGCTGAAAATATATTTAAAAGAAAAAAAATTAAAAAAGTGAAAACCTTCAACAAATATGGGACTTGAGATTCGACCAAAAAAAAAGAAGCAAGTCGTTGGCGTGTTGCAGATTGCAATACCGTGTGGGGGGTGGGGCACTTATTAGGGATTTGTATGGCTGGCCTTGAGAGTTGCAATTTTATGGGAGCTTCTACAATGAGGAGTTAAAGTGAGGAGGTTATTTGAGGAGACTGACCGTCAAAACATTTAAAATATTTAAGTCCCATGATTTCTTTACATTTGTTGATGGTGAGATTTGACCTCCTCAAATAACTTCATCACTTTAAGCCCTCATTATAACCTTTCCGCCCAAAATTCATCATTACACACACTCAAAATCCATTTATAAACACACCCAAAAATAAACAATTGTTGATTTTGAGTGTGTTTCTATGTTTAAATAGTATTTAAGTTTTTTTATAAATATATGTCTAAAATTAGGTTTATTTATAAATTTGTAAAAAAAATATGGAACCTCAGAATTCACTAACTGAAAAATTGTGGTGTGTTTGGGGAGCCACGTCACAAGACAACAGTACATGAAGGCCAACAAAGCTCAAGATCTCATCTCCTAGCTAAGCCTAAGCTATCAAACAAATGCAATTATGCAACTGACTGTGAGAGAGCGAGCAAGTAAGTAATCGTCTAGTTTTTATTTTTTTCTCCTTTCTTTCTGACGAAAATGAAGCAAAAGATATTCGTCCTCTAGTCCAAGTGCAATTGTACCTGAAAAAACCTCAATTTCAAAGGCACTCGTGGACCCGTGAGGCATCGGTCTCTCTCTTTCGCTCAAAAGAAAAAAGAAGTGAAGATGTGGCCTCAGAAATCACTGACTCCTACGTTGTGGTGTGTGCCGCAGCCACGTCTCTCAAACACACCATGTGTGGACAAGACAACCCACGTGGCAGAGTATCACTGAGAAAGCAAAAATGAGCGACGTGGTGCCAAAATCTCCACCGTCCACGTGCTTCCCACTCTTTGGGCCATTGCACTATAAAACCCTAACTCTTTGGCAACCCTCAGATCAAAAACCAAAAGTATCTTCAAAGCATTTTCTGCCTTCTTGATATCCCTTTTTGAGCTTAAGAAATATTACGCAATACAGAGAATGGCTGCCTCAGCTTCCATGCAATCACTTCTAGCTAACTCAGTGGCTTTTGGAGCTGGAAAGAGCAAATCTCTGAGGGTGAACCACCTTCTTCCTGCTAAGTATGCTCCTACTCTGCATAGGTACCCTAACATGAGGGTGCGATCTATGGCCGAGGTAATTAATTAATCTTCTTTTTGTTTCTGTTTTTAATTCCAAAACGAAATTCTAAACTATTCTGATGTACGGAGAGGCGATCAAAAGGACTGACACACTGCCATTAGCTCGGTCATTTAGGTTTTGTGCATTCTTAAATTAGCTATCCTAATTAACCATGTTTAATTAATGTTTAATTTGCAGAATGGTCAGGAAGAGCAACCATCTACAGCACCAGAGGCATCTAAAATTCCTCCACCACCTCCTACACCTACTCCTCCTCCTAAACGTAGTCCTAAGATTAGCACAAACTTTTCAGACGTTTTTGCGTTCAGTGGGCCAGCCCCAGAGAGGATCAACGGTAGGCTTGCAATGGTGGGGTTTGTTTCAGCTCTGGCAGTGGAGCTAGCCAAGGGTCAGGATCTGTTTGCTCAGATATCCGACGGTGGAGTCTCGTTGTTCCTTGGCACCAGTATTTTGCTGTCAGTGGCATCTTTGATACCTCTGTTTAGAGGGGTGAGCGTGGAGTCCAAATCAGATGGGATCATGACCTCCGATGCTGAGCTTTGGAATGGAAGGATGGCCATGTTAGGTTTGGTAGCTTTGGCCTTCACTGAGTATGTGAAAGGAGGGACCCTTGTGTAGGTTTTTGAGTTGCTAGCTTATTGTATTTAGAGTTTACAAAATTTATATAACAATGCCACATTTTCATTATTCAGAGTCTAAAATAATCGTAGCTTCCGTTGGTGCTCGGATGTTGAATTTTTGTTGAAATTCAAGTGCTTGCTGAAAAAGCAATTAGAGATGTTTGATGGAAAAGCATTTGAAAGTGCTTTTTATTTTTACTAAACGCAATCAGATGCGTTTTCAATTGTCTAGAATCGCATTTGGAGTTCTTCCAAAGGCACTCCAAACCAACTTTTAATATACCATTAAACATGAGGATCAAATACCCTAATGGCGACACTACTTTATGGAAATTAATTGTGGCAGATATATGTCTCATCAAACCCTACGAAAAATTGCAGCAAATGAAAACGTGCACGGTGCCTCTGCTTGAAGGAGGGCAATAACTTATTATGCCCACCGTTGATCAATGTGGTACGCACGTTCGATCGGTGGTTATGGTTGAGAGATCGCCTCTCCCCTACGCAAGTGAGCGATTGACGTTAACAAAAGTCACTATGAAAACTAGAATCGTCAATCGTGTGAACAACGCCTTTGTTAAAAATGTAACCCAAGATTATAATTCCTTCAAAGACATGGTCAAATAAGGACAGATTAAAGGTAACAAGTTACTGCCGACGAGATGAACAAAGCAATGGTCTTAAATTCGAACCTAATGACATCTTTGATAGTGTGAGACAAATCCCTCCCCTTATAGTTTATAATATCGTTTGTATTATTTTTATAATAATTTAAAAAAAAAAAAAAAAAAAAAGAAGGGAGTAACAATTTAATCACTTGAAGAGTAATGGAAAAGCAGCTCCTCTTAAAAGCCCAATTATCCATGAAATCATAATTGTGCAAAATGCCCCAGTCGCATCAAGAAGAGACTAAGCTGAAAATTTTATGGAGATGGAAGATGGAAATGAGCATCTTCTCTTATTCATTAGTCATTACAGCGGGGATTTTAGATTACATCTCGGTAAAAAGGCCTCTATTATGGCAAACATATAAACAGAAAAGAATGAGAAGAATACATTTTCTACTATTTCACGTATTTACATATCCACCAAGAAACCTCAGCATATCTTGTGCCATCAGTCTATATCACATCTATGGCTCAACAAACACTGCAAGCTTGGTCGACTCTCCGTTTACATGACCGTTGGACGATACTTCATAATCACTCTGTTTCTGCAGAAAAAAAAATAAGTCAATAATTGTCACTATAATGAAAAGCAAACTCAATGTTAAGAATTTCCCCATACTATGTGATCCCCTTTAGAAGAACTCTATATAACACATGCAAGGTATGATTTTAGGTACATACTTCGGAAGGAGGATCAACTGGAAACAAATTTATGGCGTCAGGATTGAAACCGAGTCCACTGAAAAGAGAAACGTGAACGAAAGCAGATATTGGTTAAACTAACATAAACTGATGACCCAAAAGAAAAGACCTAATAGGTCCTGTATTTAACCCCTTTCTACAAATGCATTAAAATGAGAACATTGTTTCTTTTTATTGATTTCGTCTCTCTATTCTAAAAAAGAGAGAAGATAGATTACCAGCGGGATAGAACTAGCTGCCAAAGGTATGGAATAAAGAACTCCTCTGGATGACTCTCTTGTTCATATGTGAACCGCAACTGTGTGAACATCTGAGAAAACAAGATTTTCAAGATATTATGAACAACAATCTTCAGGTAACAGCCTTGCATTTAGGCCAACCTACAATGTAAATTCCTTTTTACCTTCATCCCTTCACCCCGCCATGATCTGCAATTAATGATTATGACTTGAAGTACTTTCTCTACCGACCATTCACCATCCACATTGTGGGCATCCATGCGACTATTGAAAAAATCTAATACCTACAAAGCCAAACAAACAATATAATTCAAATGCACTGAATTATAAAAACAGGTGCCGATTGATATAAAAACAGGATAAGTTATAAGTTCCGTAATGAAAACCAGAAATAAACAAATAAACAAAATCCCAGTCCTGAACGTACAGTATAAATGTTTTCAAGCAACTCATTGAAGCGTGGATGATTCCTGAAAGGCTGAAAGACCTCCTGCCGGTGCATTATTGCATATATAACCTGCCCATTGCATACAGTAAGGAATACGGAAAACATTGTATGGTAATAGCATAAAGTAAACAAATTTGTTCTATCAAACATGGACCTCTTCTAAAGCATATGATAATACCTCAGGATTCCGTGGCAGGGCATAAGTCAAAATTGCATTTAATATTTCAAGGACAAGTCTCAAGAAGTCAGTATATATATGCATCTCTGTTGACTGCAATGGAAAAAAAATTCCAGCTTAGCGGACAAGAGAGTGAGAAAGGGTGACATTCATCTAACAGAACAATTCTAAGCTCCATAATATATAAAGGTATGGTTTCATTACTGTATCATCTGCAAGACCATTTCCTTCTATTGAGTTGCCTTTGACTAATCGCATCTGATTATCTCGCATCTCTGCTAGTTTGTTATACCTGAATCAAATATTACACCAAGAGCAAAATTTTAATGAACTCGAGCCAGAAGTGTATGAAAGCCAGAATAAGATTATAAATTACAGAGCAAATAGAAATGTAAAGCTCATGAGAACACCATAAGATTTAAAAGGGCATACTTTCGAGAGAGCATATCGAAAAGGCTGACCAATCTCTGGGATGCATATGCACTCAAACGGTGGACATGAGGTGCCATGTTCGCCAAAGTTGCTAGACAAGTTGTATGGAGATAAACATCCTATTACATGTCAACAAACCAGACATGATAATTAGGAAAGTTCACAAAATCTAAAAATAAGAAGAGGGAAAATATGTTAAGTGGTGAAAGCTTAATCTCAAGGTCTTAGATGCAGTTGACATAAATATCAACTTATACAAGCAATATGACAACAACACTCATAAAGAAAATACAAGAAAGATCAAAGTCAAAAGGGACAGAAGGATACCCGCAACTTAGATAGGTTATACTGCACTGTCCTTATCAGGGTAATGACCATTAAGGAACCAAGAGATGTCTGATGGAGGAGACGTTCTTTATACCAGGGAACACTAGGAACTATCTGTCATATGATAAATACATCAATAGGAGCCTAATGTATACAAATCTTGTGTTGGCTACCAGAGGAAATCCTTACCAATTTGTGAATGCTGGCATTAAAAGAAGAATCCTGACTAAGTATGAGGAGAATAATCAGCAACATGTAGATTTGATTAGAGGACCTCTTTGGAGCATTGTATAATGCTTCCAGAATAGGCATCAACTGTCCATTTCATAAAACAGATGAGCATCAAGTTTTCATATCAATGTAGAAGCAAACTTAATGATGACAGTAATTACAAACAGAAACGACTCTCATCCAAAATAACATGAAACAAAAAATTGGTAAATGACCATTAACCAACGTGCCAGCAAAACAAAATGTATCCTAATGAATCTTTTGCCATGAAAAATATAGCTTTTTCCTTTTCTCTTTTTTCAATAACAAGATAAGCTGCTGGTCCATACCAATGTATCCAAATCAGTTCGCACCAAGACATACTCCAGAAAGTCAGCATTCCCTTGCAACAAAGAGTAAAGCAAAAGAGCAGCAGCCTCATCAGCCAAGTACCTGACAACGCAGAAACGGCTATGAGATACTCAAAAACAAAAGGGAGGAACAAAAATTGAAAGAGTGAGCAAAGTTTAGAGAAACAAGGATATCCATGATTTCATTGTGAATTAGGGATCATAGATTTTGATTTGTCTTCTGTTGAATTAAGGATCAGATGTTGAAGAAGGATAAAGTATCACACCCATGAAAATCACAATAAACCGTAAAGGCATTCAAAACTTGCACCTTTTAACGACCTATTGATAAATTCTTGTACATAGCTTATAAAACACTGATAAAAACAACACAACGTAAGAATCGAAGATATGGAAGTTATACACATCAATACCAACGTGGAACTAATTAGTCAATTATATACAAATTACCACCCAAAAAAAAATTCCATTTTATTGTGGAAAAAAAAAAACACACACACACACACACACACCACCAAAAAAAACTCCGTATCCCTCTCCTGCACCACAAAGATAAAATACTTATCCTAATTAGATTTTTCTGTTGTATGACACGTAATTGTTTATCATCTAATCTTCTATATACAAATTACAAACAAGAAGTAAACCCTATTTCAGTAGGCCTACATCCCATTCAACCATAGATGGACTATGATGCATACAAAGAATTAGCCTATAATATGATAAAATAGTACATCTGATTTAAAAATACAAGAATAAAAGGAAAACCAACACTCACATTCCAAGGGCATCAAACAGAGAAGCAAAAGGTATCCTCAAAACTGGACCAGCATGTGCATTACCCTCAGTATCTACACGATCAACTGCGAGCAGGGAAAATATCCACTCAAGTTATGTGAATATACTTCCATAATAAGATTAGGTAGAGATACAAACAAGAAAGCATCTTACATTCAACATCCGTTGCATGTTCTAAGGCCTTGCAGTAAGGGTTATCAGAAAAATGCGTACTCCCTTTTAAAAGGGATTCTGAAGCAGTGGTGTCATTACTTATATCTGTAATTGGTTCATTGCCCACAACACATTTACGATAATGACTGAGAATAAGCAACACATGGAGACTGCAGTCTGCTAACAGACTTCTTGAGCCTTCACCACTTGAACTGGCCAGAAAGTTGAATGGCAATAACATGAGATTTGCTGCAATTCAAATAATTGATGTCAACAACTACTCGGTCAAAAGTTTTAAGTTTTAATATCGCCCAACCGATATAAAATCTTAGACTGGTAAACAATTTAAGTTGCAATAGTGCATCAAGGAAACCACCATACCAGCTGCGGAACTAACTCTTTGTAAAACACCAGGCTGACTTCCTTCAGAATATATAGAATAAGATGCACTATTCAAGGATATTGAAGGTCCCGTAATGTAACTGAGTAGCAGTTTACGCACAACCAAGATAACCAAAGAACTTTCCTGTGGATTGCAGAAGTGGTGTCAGACAGAAAAATTGAATCAACTGGAAATTTGGACTGAAAAATAAAGCAAAAGTTTCGTCCAGTAACCTGAGACATTGCTGCATCGATGAATGGGTTCACATCTTCTGGTCCTGGAGATGGCCCAGAAAGCAGCTGAGTTGACATTGCAATCAGCATGAAGTTAAGCAGCTCCAAATGAAGGAGGTATGTATCAGGACTAGTGACAAAAAAGATATACAATCAGGAACACAGTGGACATTATCTCAATGATAAGGAACAAGTGGGTATTTGAGGATGTACCTTACATCTATTGACCCAATAAAGCTAAGCACACTACACATAACAAAATCCTCAACGTTTAGATCTGCAAAATTGATGAAGAACAACAGCTATAAATTTATGTTGTGGGCAAACAGCTCTTATTTAAAAGTCAAATGAAGTGAAGATCGAGCTGTACTTATTACTTAATAATTCTGTTTGGCCCTTTAGGTCATCACCCATCGGCCCCCAAGACCAGCGAACTAAATCACAAGATTTCTAAAATACTAACAACCATTGTATGGGTTTTTGTTTGATTCATAAAACCGTAGTTATCACCCAACCAGGAAAGAAAGTAATACAATCCTTCTGCCTTACCAAATCTTGTGGCATATTGAATAAAAAATATGATATAATTTAAATTCAAAATTTAGATTAGCTGAAGATATCATAAGAAAATAATAAAAGGGTTTTGAGAGAGCTTATTCCAGGATTGATATCATTTGCCAATGAAATATATCATATAAGTGAATTACCTTTTGTAATATCTGTTGGGATTGGCTCACTTTCATCTAGGGACAAATACAAGTCTTCAATCTTGTCTCCCTTTCCATTTTCAATGAAGTACTTTAAAAAGACAGATGAAATGTACACTGCATTAACAGCTTTCACATAAACAAGAGAAGGTGCACCAGAAGAAGTTGAAATAGATTCTTGCAAACACCATGCCATGTGGATCAAAATTTTTGCAAGATGCCTGGTATGGTAGTTGTTTCGTGCTGCAAAAGGCAGAAATGGGACAAAGAAATATAAATACATATTTAATATTTAATATTTAAAAAATAACAATAAAGAGTCAGATGAGCACATGAAGGTATGCTGACAAATGGTCAACTGGTAAAGCATTTCAACAGTAGAAAACACGTAACTCCAATTACATTCTACCAGAACAAATAAAGAAAACTCTGCCATATCATAAACAGTTCAACGAAAATTCACTGACAGGAATCATTGAGTGCATGTTTGGTAAGATTAGAGTCACCAATCATAAGTTTCAAGAAGCCATGATCAAATACTATCATCAAAACTTTACGAACCCTTTTGGAATAAACAGAAGCTCAGCATCCAAATCATTCAATCCCTAGATGCACAACAAAATTTTGAGATTTGATGGTAACCTGAAGATGTCATGGCTGCGTTTTTTTCATATATTTTTTTTTTATATTATTGCCATTATTGACTGTATTTAAATTCTAAAAGTCTTTTGTTCCCACAAATTGGTTATGGATTTGGATTCACTAGAGTTCATTGTTTAGGACTGTTATTTGGCAAATACTCATGAAATTCATCTTGAAAAATGTTTAAGTCAGTACTCAAATTATTAGCCTGCATCTAATATTTCTAAAAAATTTAGCCCGTAACTGTTTTAAGTTCCATGGTAGATATTTAAGTTTCATGAGGAGACATGTGAATCTATTTTAAATTTCAATTACATAATTGCCTTGACATTCTGATGAGAAAATTTCAGATTATGAACAGCATTGAGGCAGATATCTTATGGCTAGACTAAGCCTCTAGAAACATCAATAGCTACTAAAAGCGTATGTGAGACCAACTAGTTGACTCACTTCCAGCAAAAGAGATGCAATTTGCAGAGAGACTGAAATTGGAATATAGAAATTTGAGAGCTATGATTTAATCTTCCCAATATTCTTATATATACTTGGGTAGAATTTTGGACAATTTTATACTTTGGTTACAAATTTATAAAGAGTTATTGGTATTATTTTCAAATGCTATTGAACTGTAGGGACATAG